AAGTCAGACCAAGCCTGTTTGTGATTTGGTGAATTGCTGAACAAACTGGCCATATTTAGCCAGATCGCCTGCCTGAATCCCCTGCTAGTAGAATATAAACAAATATGGTCAAGACATACCAGGCCACATGACTTTCAGCTTTAGGAGGGTTTCAGATTTCATAAAGCGGGCTTCCAGATTCCAGAAAGTCCCTCAAAACCTCACATCCCTATTGGGGGACAGGATGTACACAAGATGCCCTTGTCCCTTAACATTGGGACAAGGTACCTTGTTGTTGCCCCCCCCTCCTGCTTATAAGGTACCCTGCCAATTGTTAAAAACATGTGGCCTGGTGTGGTTCAGGAAGGGGAGAGACACACACTTGCTGCCTTGCCTTTCTGGCCACCCAGGTAATGTCACCTTCAAAATAAAAGAAAAAAATAACCTGTGGTTTCCATTAAAATTCACACCATACCCTTATCCAGGCATGTAGTCTAGGTGGCCGGGAATGGGTGGGCAGGGTGCATGCACCCCCTCCTCCCAGCCCCCCATACCATATCAGTCTTCGATATGCCTTTCAGCATTAGAAGGGCATCTTGCAAAGGGGGTATAGGTAAAGCCTCCCTCCTTTGCCGGACATGTTATCTCAATGTTGGCAGACAAGGGTCTCTTCTCCACATCAAGAGGATATGGGGGTTTGTAGGGGGGGGGGCGTTATAACAAGGGGCCCCCAGAAATCCACCCCCTGTGGAATGTAGTACTCATATTACTGTTTCCTTAAAAAAAGTACAAAATAAACACACAAAAAATGGGACAAAGCCTTTTAATAGAAACCCCCCCAAAATGCAACCAATTTCATCTATGTAAATCTATCATCAACCATGTCTTTTTGCATTAATCATAATGACCCACCACCCGAAAGCTGTTCCCCACTGCCTGATGATGATTCATGACCTGCTGCCCAACGATGTTGACTCATTGCACTACCACTGCTAAATGACTGGGTCCCCAGCACTGCTGGAAAACACAGCAAGAAGTATCCTGGGTAATATCAATGACCAAATATGGTCATGACCATATTTGATCAATGATGTTATCCAGGATAACAAAGAGCAAATGGGGATCTGTCATTTATAGGTGGTTTAATCTGAATTTCTACTATGCAAAGTGAATTTTCGCTCCTCTTAGTATAAGTGATAAAACAAGATAAACATTCTCTTTCAGCAAATAAGACTGCTCTGTGCTTAATGCTAGCATACATGGCAAACATGTTAAGGTCTCTAATAGGGTGCTACATGTCAATGTCACAGGGGAACCAGAAAGCAGCAAGCAGGGAAGAGGCTGTGATAACCCTGTAATTTTGTGCTGACACTGGGCCCTGATAACCACATGCTGTAGGATGATCACTTCACAACAAACAAGTGAGTTTTTTAAAATGGTATTTTAATAACATTTGTTTTAACTTACTACACTGTCGAGGCCTGTTTTATGATTTTTTTATAGCTGATGTGAGGTATCATTGGAGCCATGGCAAGAAAGAGGACCCTTGTGCATTGTTGATATAAAAGGCTGACCATCTGAGATAAAAAGCATGGCGTGACTACTACTTATTTGTGGTCACACTACTGTTGATGAGTTTATCCAATCTAAACACTGACATGGGAGGGGGATTGTTCACCACTTGCATTGAACACCATATTGAATTATTGTACTAAAGCACTTTACTCACAATGTTTGCAGTTAATTTAATTATAATATTCTATATATTGATTGAATATATATTTGTATTTTTTTTACAGTTTGAAGTTTTGCCCTAAGAGGGGGTTGTATGAACTTTAAGATTGTATTTAAGCACTTTGTGCTTTTGCTTTTTGGATATTATATGCAGGATATTACCATATTAATATTTATGTACTTTTGACCTATTGTAAAGTAATGTTTATTGTTGTAATATTGTTATAGAGTGCAGTGCAGATTGATTTTTTATCTAAGGGCACATTTATTGTAGTAATAGTAGCATGAAGTGCAGTGCAGTCTTATTTGGATTTAGGGAATAGCATATACTACTTTAGCCCAGCAGCTTAGATACTTAGTTTTATACGTTTAGATAGGGGCATGGACCACGGTGGGAAAGTAAAAAATTAATTTTGTAAAGAACACATAATCATGTGCAAGGATTATTGAAAGTGAACATGTTCTATTTCTTTTGAAAATCAGGGTCATGATGAGGAGAACCAACTCACTGAAAAAGACAATTATGCTTGAAAAAGGGAAAGGAAGAAGAGGATGACCAGGGCCAGATTTCCCACAAGGCCAACCGAGGCCCGGCCTAGGGTGGCAGGGTGCAGAGGGATGGCAGGGGTATGGGATTCATATCGCCCGACGCCTGGGACATGAAGTTCCGGGCGCCAGGCAGGTAGTTGTTTTCTACATTTAGCCCTGCTTTGGGCAAGCAGAGCCAAATGTAGAGCGTGGAAGACGTTTGTTCGCTTACAAGTGATCTTGGCGTTGTCGCTGAGATCACTTACTTGTATGCAGCCTGCTCGCCCATTCTCCCCCGCAACTCCCCTCGCCAGCTACCTCTCTCCCTGCCGGCCAGAGATCCTCTTTTCAGCATGGAGAGCATCTGTTTTCCGCTCTGCTCCGTCTAAATATGGAGACGGGAGAGCTGCACTCACAGCCTTGCCATCTCAGCTGTCACAGGAGAGCCAGCACAGTATTGTGCTCAAACTTCTGTATTGGAGGTGGCAGGTTCAATAAAGAGAACCTGTCACCTCCAAATGCTATCACTCAGGGGTTTGTTAGCTCCTGTGTGATAGCAATACATTTAAGTGAAAAAAAAACCCATTAAAAAAAATTTAGAAAAATATTAAATAAATAAAAATGAAGAAAAAAATAATAGGGCTGCAGAAATTAACGATTAATCCCTCGAAATCGTATGGCTAATGAAGGGAAGGGGGGAGGAGTCTGGTGACGTCGATGTCCGTGACGGCACTGGACTTGGGCCGGTGTGTACACATCCCGGCCGGGAGAGAAACACTTTTTACCGGAAAGGTTTAATCTGCTCAAATCGAGCAGATTAAACCTTTCCCTGCGATCGTGTTTTTTTCTTTTCTGACATCGGGAGCCGCGGCCTGACCGTCAGTCAGAAAAGAAAAAAAAGGCATATTATTGCATAGCTAGATTCCTATTGGCTATTGCACTTTGCACAAGCCAATAGCAAA